AAAAAAAAAAACTCTGCGACAAAGGTTATCGACAGTGGTTTATGCTGGAATTTGTATGGGAGGTGAGTGATGGTAACTATGTACCAACTGGCTCTCATACAGCATTTGTATGGGAGGGGGCCAAGCTTTTCCGAGGAGGAGCGCGGGAGGATTAAGGATCTAGCCGAGTGTGGCTTTTGGGGCCGTGAGATCGCTCGGCGCTTGAGGTGTTCTCCTCAAGGAATCACAAACGTACTGAGCAAGCCGAACAAGGCTTCGTTTGCGGCACAGGGCCAACCCAAGGCTCTGACGGATCGTCAAGTGATACGACAAACGAGCTGAAGACTACATACAACGTCAATGCCCAGGTGTTGCTTTCAGGTGGTCAAGAAGCCCGGCAATACCATATCGTATTTGGATGTTACCATCACTCACCTTTTAGAGGTTCAGGTAGTCTACCCGCGTTGGTGTGGATTGACTACAAGTGCTACCAATTGCTGAGGAAACAGGCTTCCAAGAGTTTACAAACTCTAAGTGAACGACAGTTCACGTGTACCTGGTCTGAGGGGACGAAGTACTCAGTTAAGGTACGTTTAAGACTGAATGTATCTATAGGTAATCTTAGTCTGAACCCTAATACAAACTACAAGATACCTAAAGTGAAACTATGTAGTTATCCAATGGATGGCTCCTAGATCCATGGGTACCATGTACCCATCCTTCCCAAGAGTGACAATCACCCTTCATGTAACTTGGGTACACTTGGGTTCGTACCCCGTTACAAAGTCAGCAGAACAGTACATTGCATGAAGGGCTTTGGATCATTTTTGATCAAAGGCACAAGCGATAAGGGTTGGTTTCCATCGAGTAAACTGCATGTGTTATCGTCATACGGAAAGTGTTCATTAAAAAAAAAATCCTTTTTGGAACACCGCAGCAAGCAATGTCGAGTTGACTTATACAATTGCATTGTGCTGTTAAACGAAAGGGAAAATTGCAATGGTAGACTCGATTTGGAAAATATTTCCAATCGAGGACTCACTTTTGACCACACCAACAATTTGGCTAAAACTTAGTTATTTGTTTTTGACGGTCCCAGTCCGAATAACTGGCAAGATGCTACAGAAGCAAGATTTATCTCCACTCTCCATCCGCACTAGTACGGAGAACGACGGCCCTAGAGCGAAGAAGAAGATGAAACAGGAACACGAGATTGGAGAAAGGCAGCGGCGTGCTACTGATGAGAAAGCCAAGACTGCGCAGGAAAACAAGACTCCCGCTGTAAACTAAGACGGTGCTACTATCCTGGATCGTATGCTCGATGTCACGCTGTTTCACGAAGTCTGCGAGTGATACAAAACACGATTGTCGGCGACACCCTAATCTACGGCGGGTGTGGCCTACTTCAACGAGAAGGCAGGTCGACGATTCGCGTGCGTAACGATGCCGTCAAACTTGATGTCGTCAGACTAGATGCAAAGGATCTGTTTTCTCTGCTTAATAGAACGTTAGTGAAATTATAAATGAAGTGGTGATATTGAGGGATAGTAAGTTGTGTGAGTGAGATTCCTGTTTCTCATTTTGATCTGCAAGTGGCTTTGTTGTGTCCGCCGGCTACTACACATTTGCTACAGGCGTATACTTTTTTCCCTGATTTTTCCACCTTCCCCCTTTGAGCGGATACGACGCTTTCGCGGGCGGCCTATTATGAATTGGGCAGAGGTCAATCCGTCTTCAGCAACTTTACTGTTGTCATGAGGAAAACGTATAGGCTGCTGATCTTGGGAATACTTCGAAACCGTATAGCAGGTCGCAAGTAAGGAGAAAATGTCATCTAAACCTCCATCTCCTAAGTTGAGGATCGCCAACAACTGTGCCAATTTGTCTCCAGAAAACACAAGAGCTTGATGGCGGAGAGACTTTCGTCTCCCGAGGTTTATCGGGACGTCCAACCTGTGACGTGTAACCAATTGTGTCGGGACTTAACGGTTCCTTGTATAGTGATATTTGGCTTAGCTCAACTTGAAACTACGCTTCCGCACGAGGCGTGACGATACGCCCTATTGAATGTCGTGTAGAGAATTTTATCAGCAAGTTTAGCGCCTTTGCGACCGAAATAAACCCAGCATGGCTATCGCAGAAAACAGGAACACCCGTAGCGGAAATCCATGACGAACCAAGATCTGGAAAACCAAAGATAATTAGCATGATCTTCTAAGGGAGCGAGTTCTACAGCCGCTACCCGGTTCTGGAAGTTGCCGTCACGAGCAACTAGAACAATTTGAACACTATTATAGAGTCGATGCTTCATGTGAGCAGCCCCCACACCTAAAATTGCCTGTCCGCCACTAAACCAGGCTGGGCCAAGTGCGGCTAATGCTCGCAAAAGTTGCCATATTCGTCGCGTTCCAAGTTGGTGATAGTATCTTGGTTTTGATCAGAAAACGCTGAGAGGTACCAAGGCAGATACTCCATCGATTTCTCACCTCATAAAAAATCACACAAAACTGCTTCCTTAACCCTATATAGCATGCTTCTACTGTAAACCAGTTTCGAGTCAGACTGGAGGTGTCCTGCCATTGCTGAAGCTGATATGTTGGAGTCGGAAATGATAGCACTGACGTCTGCGCAAGTTGTTGCGCTGAAGGTTTTGCTGTCCCTGTGCACTTGATGTGGGCCAGATTTTCAGTTGTTACATGCCAGTAATTATCTCTAAGTTGCGGTTTGTGACAGCTTGATGAACCAGGTACATTTTTCTCCACTAGAGCACTCCATACGCTTGAACGTGCCGCCTCTCATCTTACTCACACTTGCACTTTTGCCGCGACTCAACGCATACGCCTTGATGTCACTTACAGCACCTTTTCCAGTGGTCCACGTACGCTTCTTC